GGCTGGCTGACTGGCTTCCGTTTTTAAACATTCAAATAAACCTATCAAGTACCGGTTACATGACAAAGTGGTACCGAAAGCGAAGTAACAAGAACATCCTCTTTCATTTCCTTTCTTCCCACCCTTCATACACAAAGTGGACGCTTGTGGGAAACATGTTTCGAATATCCACCTCTGTGTACACAAGTAGGGAACTAAAGGAAGAATAGCGCAACTTGGCTCGGGAAATAGCCATCTCCAATGGCAATGAAATAGTGACCCCCACGAGATAAGTCTGGAAGGAGAACGACGCTCCAAAACGAAGGGTTTGGCCGGAACAAAATTCCGTTTATCATTAACGATGAAATAACTGTAGCAATAAAGCGATGTTTGAGAAGGGCAGATCTAGAGGAATCGGCAGCGATAGTTGAAATACCACCGGATACCCTACGTCATCAGTTAGTTCGTAACCGTCTATATGACCGTCTATGTGAAACAACAAATTGCGTAATTTGCCCTTATGGCAGGGACGGTGATTGCATGAGTTTAGGTACGATATACCTGATCTCTTGTAGTACTTGCGGAGACGAATATATCGGCGAAACGGAAAGACTCTTATATATCCGCATAAAAGAACACCTAGATGGCAAACGGAAATCAAAAGAAGGCACGCATGAGATACAAAAACATAGAGGAGAAGATTTTGATGTAAAAGTCGTTATCAACGCACGGGAGACTAAAACACCAATGTGCAAATTTCTCGAGGCTTTTTGGATAAATTCCAAAAATCCGAGAATGAATAGCAGGAAAGAGTGCCCTGAGATAACGCGTTATCAAGACCCGTATCCCAGAAATGATTTTTGATGTGGAGTGGTGCAGTAATCAACCATATGCGACTCTAAGTTGCTGTTCTTCCTTATTGGAAAAGAGGTAGAAACGGTGGGGTTTTCGAGAAGCCGGTGATCGTGTAATTACTGTTCAGATTTTCATCTTTCTGATTACGTTGTTGAAGCGTTTGACTTAGTAAATTACATCTTAGTGTACCCTTCCAGGCTCTGAACAAGGGGATAGCGCCCAAACGTCAGCTACTGTTCCGTTGTATGTGTTGTTTGTAAGGAAGTAAAGGTGTCATGAATAACAACCTCGCGATTGCTGTAAAAAAGAGAACAACAGACCCAACAGCGTCTTCAATGGTATTTCTTCTACCATGCGGCGGGTGTGGCGCAGTGGTTGGAGGCGCCACTGCGACGCACACGTGAAATCGATCGCCGCGCGCACGGCCCACCAAGGCTTTCACCCCTCCGGGGTCGGCAAATTGGTTCCAAACTTTTCTGGGAGGATAGCAGCACTGGTCTGATAAATCGGTAGGTTACCGCGAGTCATTGTAAACGCCAGGTATGCATTCGTTCACCTCCAACGATACTGAACGAAGTCGAATGCATGGCCCATTCCTCAGGGATTGATCAACGTCGAGAACTTTACCCTTTATGCTTTTTATTTCTTCCAACATTTAACAAATCATGTCTTTAGAAGATGCGAAATTATGTCCATATCATCAAACTGTTCGGACGTTGCGGAAAGTGCTATGTATCGCAGCCATTGCAAGAAAGCTTACATTGATTCGATTCAATCACAGAATCAATCAAATTCAATTTAACATTGAAAACCGCCCACAAGGAACGTGTACGACCTAAGCATCCTCGTTAGATTAGTAGTTTACTAAAAATCAGGACAGGAAGAAAATTGTCGAAAACGGCGAAATCAGCCCAAAAGTCGGTAGGAAAATGTTTTATGGTGAGATGAGATTTTTACAGTGAAATCGATCACGCTTTTCAAAACGAAAGCCAGCAGATAAGCCCATTGCTGAAGCAATCCAGAACAACAGAAATAGTTACAGGCTTGCTGTTTCATAAAGAGTAATGGTCCCAAGGGGAATCTATGCAAATGAGAAAATCCTTATAAACGCCGAATGCAAAGTGGTTCATAAAAAAGTAGTCTTCAGTAAAAGGTACAACAATCCGAATTTGATCAAGGAATAAGCGCCTGCCCATGGGAAAGAGCCTAGGATCCCGTATATGTTTGTGATATGTTATCAAGAATCAATGACTTCTACCAGTTGGCTAGACTTTCCCCTTTAGGATCTCCTGGAGCAGAGAATTAAAAACACGCAAGTTTAAGAAGTCTACTTAGAACACAATGCAGTGCTTTTTGTAATAGTTCCCAGGATCGACTTTCTCTTAACCTCGGCATTGGAATATGAATGTGTCGTTTTCTTGCTCAACAATCGCGAGGTTTTTAAACAGCATACATTTACTTCCATAGAGAAACACAATACAGTACAACGCCAGCTGACGTTTCGGCAATATCGCCTTCTTCAGAGCCTGGAAGGGTATACTGATATACAATCTACTAGGCCAAACGCTTCAATAACACTTACACAAAGACGAAAGACTCTTTGGTAATTACACGATCAACAACTTCTCGAAAAACTTACCGCTTTTTTCGTGACCTCCAAACAGCTGATTATAGTCGCATGTGGTTGACGACTGCACCATCCCACATCAAAAATCGATGCGAACGTACGGGATCAGGTCGCGTATGACCTCCGGGCATTCGTCCCTGCTATTCATTGTAGGGTTTTTGGCATTGATCCAAAAAGCCTCAAGGAGTTTTCGCGCTGGTGTTTTGGACTCCTGTGCAAGGATATTGACTTTTACTTCAAAATCGTCTCCGCTATGCTTTTGTATCCCATGCGTGCCTAGTGCGGTGCTTCGTCTTAGTTTTCGTTTGCCATCTAGGTGCTCTTTTTGCTCTAGGTGTAGTGCTTTTTATTTACTGCCAATTATTTTTTAACGGCAGGGTATTCTGTTAAAAAATAAACACAATGATGCTTAGATATTTGTAAAACTCCGGACGGCTAGTGTATGCGGTGCGGAACAAACGCGATGTTACCCTTTCCGGGTGATAAAGCGTTCACCACCACACCATGCGATTCCATCGTTTCGCCTTTCTCTCAGCCATGCTATTTGCTTATAGGTGCCAATAAGCCCGTGGGAAGGGTAACAGCGCGTTCGTTCCCCAACGCAGACACCAGCGGCCCGGAGTTTTGCAAATATCTTAGCACCATTAATCTACCTAGATCTTTTGAACAGTAAAAATAGTAATAAAGCGCAAAATAAAAACAAGGAGCTAGTAGCAATTCCCAAGACCGACTTTCTGTTAACCTCGGCATTGATTGATAATTCGATGTTTTTCTTCAATAAGCAGACACGAGGTTGTTATTATAGAATTTATTAGGATACAATAGTTGACGTTTCGGCGGTTTCGCCTTCTTCAGAGCCTGGAAAGGTCAAATTGAGATGCGATCTACCCAGCCAAACACTTTCATAACGCCAGCAGATAAAACTTAATAAATAAATTTGTATTCGCATAAGAAACAGCTTCATTTACGTTTATTGTTATAAGTATTTAAGTTAGTTGATGGATAGCAGCCGCACAGAGTAATAAATAGGCGAGGAATGCGCCTGCGCCAGGCCATTGAATCAGCATAAGGTATGGCGCCAGGTGGCGCGTAATGACAAGACACTGCTCTTTGCGGTACATTTTTGAATTTTTGAAACTGTGCGGCTGCTATCCACCGATTAACTTAAATAGTTACAGCAAATAAACGGCTCTGAAAAAGGCGAAACCGCCGAAACGTCAGCTACTGTATCCTAATAAATTCTATAATAACAACCTCGTGTCTGCTTATTGAAGAAAAACATCGAACAAGGAACTAGTGCCTCATTAAATTCATACTTCCTGACTAGGCTACTGTAAAAACATGCAAAAACACACGAATTAACACATATACAAGGTAGGAATATTAATATAGATGAATAGTAATAAAAATACAAAAAATATTGTAGGGGTATATATAAGTTTTCTTGGATCACCTATCACCATGAGCCATGCTTATGCAAAATCTCTTTTGGACTCTCTCAGCAAAGCTGTTAAGGTAAAACTTTTCTCCTTCCGAAAAAATCGAAGTAGTCTTTCTTGAGAATTACTATGTGGATGAGTTGTATGCACATGGAGACATTCATTCTTGTGAACCAAAGAAAGGATTGCCTATTTTCAAGAATAAGCCATTTTTCAATAAACTTGTTGCTTTTATAAATCTATTTATATTCGAATTCTCCACTTCAAAAGTCGAGCTTATCTTACTCATTTTCTTCTTCTTAAATATTAACTGATAGACGACTAAACTAATAAAACGATCTTCAAATTTAGTGCTGCTATGCTTTTTTAAGGAATTCCTACACTGTTACAATGAACGATAGAGGTTGACGCTTCCTGCACTGACCAATTCTCATGGTGTCCACTGCTATGCATTTAACTTCACAAAGCATAGGGGTGATCGAACGCATATTTCGCCTACAGACTAGTTCTCGGTGACTTACATATCAAGTCAATTTTATTATTATCGAGGACAAATCTATTCCAAAGTTACTGAGCACGGAGGGATGGTAGACTTCGTGAACAAGTGACGCGGGATCGAACCAGAAATCGATCCAGTGTGTTTTGCACGGCACCTCTAGCGTTTGCGCTACATGTGGGCTATTGCGATGTAATTGGTAAAGTAAATCATCACTACGAAAAAAACATTAACTTCAGAAGAAATACGAGATCATAATCGATAAATAAATACGGTATCAAAAACTTCTTTTTCGTATCCATTTGTCACTGAAACATGCACCTTCTTGTCAGAAGCATTAAAAAAAAAACAAAAGGAAACATGAAAAAAACTAGTGAAAAATCTATTGAAGAACGCAGCAGCAACAAAAAATGATAACAACCGCGTAAGTGCGTCACTATACCAAGATAATATGTGGATGCTAAATTGCACGGGATCAAGTGTAAATAGTGAAGGTTATACTTTTTCACTAAACAAAAGGATATATAACAAAAAGTAATACAACGCATGATCCCTTTGTCTAAGCCTAAGCCAAACAAGCCTACAAGCGACTAACTTGAAAGTTTTAAAGGACTCTAGATTGAAAAATTCCTCCGGATATTCCGACGTAGTAGAACCAGTAGAAAATATTGAATGCAGTGAAAAGTAATGGAAACAGCTTCGCTGACATCTGAATTTGCTAGTTCTTATTTCGATGAAAGAAAACAAAAGAGAAGAATTGTAGACATACCTCGTCTATTTTCTCGCCATTCAAGTGACGTGGTTGATCAACTTGCATGATTATCCGACGTGTTTTGTCGTCGCATTGCCTATGCCGAGCACTGCCATTCCCTTCTATTCCTACAAGCAACGACACACCAGGACCCAGAGGACTCGTGTCGGCAACTAAATCCTCATGTTCAGTAAAGATTGCACTAAAATCACGTACTTGGTGGTACCTTCAGAATGATGACTGGGCCTAAACCTCGAAAACCATTGCTGTTTGGAATCGCTACGAATGACGGCATGTTTCATCGTCCGCGCATGCCGTTTTCTTTTTGCGTCTAACTTATCAGCGAAACCAACAACGGCCAACTAAATATGACTTTCTAAGAATGAGTGTAGAATTCACCATCGAAATATCAGAAGCTAACAATGAACTGATAAAACATTACAGACCGTCTGAGTAATCGCATGTGTCCTAACTCTATACAATTTTAAGTTTCTCAAAAGGTAAACTTCTTAAGGCCCTGGTTTATTTATAGGCTTATACGAGGTTGTTACATTGTAACAATCTTATCCAAGCTTACCATTAAACCAAGGCACTGGTTATCCACACTAAGGTTAAATAAAAGTTGGTAGTGAAAATATACTGCAAACTTTTCACACGGGAATGTCAATTTGAGATGTGTACATAGAGTATCATAGTCTTGCAAAAGTAGCTGAGTTCCGTTCCGTTACGTCTGAGTAAATTTTTGGAAAAAGTAGGGAAAGAAAACTGGTTTTGGTATTTGCCGCACTTATGACATGCTTCCACAAAGCCCATGGCCTGCAAATTTTTGCTTCCTGGTGCATAGAATGGCTTGAATGGCGGATTACGCAGGACGCCACTTAGAACGACATTCATAGACAGTGGCTTCATACACAGAAGAGAACTGCATACTTATATTTAGAATATGAGAGCAAGTGAACAAAAAATCTTTCGTCTTGGAAGAAACGATGTTGTTCTCCAATCTATGCTTTTGTGCCTGTAAATGAAGCTTTTCCGTTTTGGAAAATGTGACTTTCGTCTCCAATTTTTTGCAAATTTCATTTCCAAACATCTTAAAATTTGGAATTACAGTGTATAAAAATTGCATGCGATTAATGTGATAGAACAAAGTCACTTCTACAAATCTACAAAGTGATCAATTCCTGAAATGTTCCAGCTATCGCGGATTAACCGTCAGATGCAGAAAAACCAGCTTCGTCACGAAAGGGATAACGTAGGTAATAGTATCTATAAGATAGAGGAATGTCCCCATAACACAATTTTTAAGCATTATCTAACATAACAGAATCTGTTTCGACTTGAGGAAAAAACTTCTTGCGTAAATTATGGCGGAACGTAGTGCGTTAAGCACACACGCTAAAAAAAGGAATGCTTTTTAGGCGACAAGGAAGACCAAGTCAAAAGTAGTTCTGTTTTCAGTGTGTTGCAATGTTATCAATGTATATGCTCTAATAGGAATAAATGCACTATTTGGAGAAGAGGTTAACGATAACGTAAATGACAGACGACCGATGATCCCTTAAGTCGGTCGTTTAAATGAGTTCTCATTTTCATCCAATAGCAAAGAATGAAGGAAGAGTCGAAATAAAGTTTAGTAAAACTATTACCGTTGCAGACGAAGTTGTCAAAATCGTAAACAACGATCTGTATTATGCACAATGTTCTAGCGCATTTAATTTATTATATGTTTTATACGTATTTATTACAGCCTCATCCTAACTAGGTTCAATGCCGATTTGTGCGCCTCAGATTAATCCCGCTGGCGGGTGATTGTTGATGGCAGCGCTAGATAAAAACTAGCTGGAAGAAACGCAGAGGCCTTCGTGGCATAGTGTGTAGTGCGCGAGCTCCCGGAAAGGAAAATCGTGGTTCGATCTGGTCCGGTGTCCAAGTTTTGCGAATATCCCAGCATCGCTGTGGTTTATTCACATCATAACCTGCCTCGAAAACTTGCAGTACGCGGAAAATAAAAAGGGTTAACACTGTTATACGTTCATTTTGCACTTCTGACTACGATTTTCTTACATGGTCGTAAAGAATGCGGTTAGCACTTTGACGAAATTAAAATCAATCAGCATTGACCTAGTTAACTGGTTACACTATGAAGAGATTTTGCCACAAATAGAGTGCTTGGAGTCTTTCAACCTAGAGGACGAGTTTTGTGAAATCCTGGTCATTGCAAACTGTTGTCTATAGAAATGTGCTTTGCATGAATCACCCAAATGCGTCATCCAATATCAACTTTTAGTTTAGGCAAGTTATCGATAGCAACAACTTTTCAGAGACTCTCAAAATAAAATCTATACTAGCTATCACTTCTTGGTTGACTTTTTTATTTGTTCGATCTTAATTTAAAGGCAAGATTTCTTCAACGCTGCGTTGGTCTCACGCTACCGAGCGTCGTTTCCTTCCATGCTTTTCCCTTCAGAGCGAAATCAAACCATATTGGGAAATCAAAAACATAACTTTTTTTATTTTACTTGGTCCGTCTTCACGTCTACTGTGCAGCTCCCGGCACTTCCCACATTCGATTCTACTCCTCGCATCCATTGCCCACAAAAAATTTTCCCACCTTTACTTGCGATTTCGGTTGCTGCTTGAGGATTTCCATTTCATCTTGAATGTCACAGAATGCTGGTCGAGCAACCCTCCCTGGAGTCCTGACAGCCGGGCTGGAGCGTTCCGAATTGGATTACAGAGAGTGACTTTTTCCCAAACAAGTCTGGTACCAATTTCCCAGCCCCGGAGAGATGAGAGGCTTGGTTGCCCAGGAGCGGAATCGAACTAGCACCGTGCTCGTGATGACGGACATCACTACCACTGTGCTAACCATCCCCGAACGTAACTTTACCGGTCGCTAACTTTCGGTACACTATTATTAAAAAAGAGAATTGTTTGGTCAAGCGACTAAATCTGTTGTGGGCAGCGATATCACATCAGCACTCATCAAATCATCTACTCAGGCTTCTGATATTCTATCCATAGCTCCGTACTTCGAATTTCTTAAAACACGAGCAGCAGTAACAAGGTATGAAGGTGAGGAAAACCTTCTGGATAGACCCATTTTTCAACCTTTTCCAACTTTTTCCAAATTTGGAAAATGGCAACTTTCTAAACACAACATCGATTGGCAATTAATGACTGTTTCGTTTTTATTGCAGCGGGTTAAATTGCGCATCAACATTGTGTTATTCATTGGCTACATGTGTTCAACTTCTAAATAAACAACAGAAAACTGTTATATCATTTCCCTTTAGCTAACTGGGGTCTGACTGCAACGAGCTAGACAAAAACCAAGGCAGCCGAAACCTGATATCTTATTGAAAACTAATGAAGTAATAAAAAGCATGGCTTAGCATAATGCTAAAACTTACTTCGACCAGCGAAAGAAAGATGAATCCCACACAACCGAACATCCAAATGTCGAGAGCCTGAAGAAACATTACTGTTGTTTTTTTACACAATTTCACAAGCAAGATCACTAATGATTACCTAGCAACGAATACACATGAGTCCTACTTAAAGCCAAGGATATTGTTGTTCATATTATGTAACGTTGCCACTAAAAAAATGAAGCACATTGGATAGCTTTATGCACGACACGGACAAGCGATAACTACCGACACCAGGTTGAACAAAATAATTACAGGTAATGGAAATGGTAAAAGCGATGATTGATAAGCATTGAAACAGGCTTTGTAATCAGTTGCTTCCTATTGTTTTTAAATAATGATAATGTGTACGGATGCTAGTGACTATGATTCTCTGTCGAGAATACCTTTAGAAAAAACTAAATATCTTTACCAGTATCACAATAGCATTCGGTGGATTCAATCTTACAACTTATGGCACTCCACTGAAGAAAAAAAATGAAATTAACTGAAAGTTCTATCAAACGAATCCTACGAACTAAAAGAAGTGGATTAGAAAAAGCGCAGTTTTACTAACTTAGTGAAATGCACTCCTCGCACATATCTAATGGCAGCAGTCTGATGTCAGTATTGATGAAAATAACAAATACAGTGTTTCCAAAGACTCGTTCCAGAACACTTATCATCTAGGTACAAATAAAAGGATAAAGCTGTCGGCGTTCATCAATCCCTGAGGGATGCACGACGCATTCGACTTCATTAAGCATCGTTGGAGGTGATTGAATGCATATCTGGCCTTTACAATGACTCGCGGTGGCCTGCCGATCTATTGAGCCAGTGCTACTATACTCCCAAAAAAGTCTTGTACCAATCTGTCGATCCCGGAAGGACGGGTGGGCCGTGGCGCGGGGATCGATTTCACGTGTGTGTTGCAGGGCGCTTCTGACCACTGCTCCACACGCGATCAAAACATGTAAAAAAAATAATGCTAAATTTGTGCTTATCTCAATGACCGGTCACATATTTTCGCAAAAATCGGCCTTAATGTTATCCAATATAAGCGTTTTGCGCAATAATTATTGTAACTTGAAACCACTTTAGTCGTTTGAGTTGGTCGCGGAATAAAGGAAACCGTGTTAAAATGAAAAGGTTAAATCAAGGAGAAAAATGGCATAAGATTTTCTTTAGTCCACCGTAGTAAGCATTCCTTCCCAATGTTGCTCTTAAAAGGAGACGAATCTCTTTGTTGAACGCGTTGACGTGATTATCTCCATACATCGCTCCCTCGGTTGAGTAATGACTGCTTACTACACTCATATTTTGTCAGCTCAGTGTCGTGGTCTTCAAAGTATATCTTGAATAAAGAAAAATAGTAGGTTCTATGAACCATCGTAGTGTGTTTCCCACTTTATTTTGCACATGATATTAATCGACAAAGCACTAGAGTTTTCCTTGAAAAAGATATCACCCTCATTCTCTCTCTTACCACAAGCTCTGGTGCTATAGAATTTTAGTAATTTTATTCAGAGAGTTGCTTCTGGAAGTCGAAGTGCTACGTACTGCGGAGGTTCCCGCCCAGACAAGTACACACAAACTAAAAAAGAGCTCGACATGTTCCGCAGTTCACCCAAGAGTAAGTCCACAGGAGTATTCTCCATTCTGGAAGAAACGCCTTAATGCAGCCCTCAAAGTAGCGGAACTCAATATGGAACCACTGTTACTGGGCTTTATGGAAAAATTCCGTTCTATTTGAAAAGTAGTTGTTGAGCGGAAACTATGACTGAGTGTGCGTCATCCTTCGCAATGGCTACAATTCAATCATGTTTTTTTTTGTTCATCTCACGAAGAACATTTTACATCAAATAGAATCTCGCTCGTTAAATAGGGTCTGGATCCCAATTTTCTATTTAATTTTAGTTTCAAGGTTTCCAAAAAGTCCAGAAAAGGTTGGTGGAACGGTGTGCAGTTCTTCCGTGACCGAGATTCCTCTGCTCTGGGAACATTTCTGATAGTGTGATTATAATAAATCTTGTTGAATTCTAACCGACATTTAGTTAGCTTATACAGTTGGCTGTTAATAACTTGTTTTTCGCTTTTTTTCGTTAACCTACATGATACAGCTACGCGAATGGATCCAAATACTTGCAACGATTGTACTTTGAGAGGAAGTAGACTAGTAGTAGGTCCGGAGTTTTGCAAATATCTCAGAATTATATACGAGTTATATTTCGCAACATACCCTGCCATTAAAAAAGAATAGGCAGTAAATAAAAAGATTAAGATTGCGATTATAACTACAGCCTCAGCTTAACTGGGTTCATTGCCGATGTGGGTTCCCCGGACCAATCCTGTTAACGGGTGATTGCTGATGGCACTGATCGATAGAACTAGTTGACAGACAGAAGAAACGAAGGACCCGCATGGTGTGGTGGTGAACGCGTTACTCCCCGGAAAGGACAATAACGCGTTCGTTCCCCACCGCAGACACCTGCGGTCCGCAGTTTTGCGAACATACTTTCCTATTAAGAAGAATAGGCAGTAAATAAAAAGGTCAAGATTGAGACTACAAGTAGACTGAGCACAATTTCGTTATTTTAAGAATTAACATAAGCATTGAGTTGATTGCAGTGAAGCAACAAACCAACAAAGTGTTAAAGGACTCACTTTAACGTAACTGACTCTGGGAAGATTTTTTACGATATTACCGAATTGGAAAGTGAGCGCCATAAGTGATGAAACACCCAGTGTTATTCGCGCTGGCAATGCCTGCAATTAATACTTTATACATGTTGTACATGTGCTTTATACTTTATACATGTGAACGATGCTTAACTTCATAACGTTATGGAACATGGATTTTCGAAAATAAACAGCAGTTTTAGCCGACAAGTAGAAGAATCGGTAGGTTTGCGAACACGATAGGACTTTAGATGAGGTCTGTTCTATCGTTCTACTGGAATGAATGACATGTACAGTACTTTTTATTGTACTATACGCTACTATAAAAGGATAAAGTTCTCGGAGTTGATCAATCAATGAGGGATGCGTCATGAATCCGACTTCGTCAAGCACCGTTTGGAAGTGAATGAATGCATATCTGGCCTTTATAATGACTCGTGTTGGCCTACCGATGTATCAAGCCAGTGCTACTATCCGCCTAGACAAGCCTGGCACCAAGTTGTCGAGCCCAAAGGGATGGAAGGCTTGGCGGACCATGGGAGCGGGATCGATTCCACGTGTGTGTTGCAGGGCGCCTCCAACTGCACCACACGCGTCCTATTTACGCTGGGTCTATTTTGGTAACATTTACACCTACACATTCCATACGATAACTGCGATTCACTACAGCGATTAGATATTAAATAACACCGGCTCTCAAACTATCGGGCAATGAACTCGTTTGAGGAAAAACTGTATATTTCCAAGTACAGAATAACGTAGCTCCCATTTGACGCTCACCATAACAACTATACAAGACAAGTTATACATGGATTAAAAAAATTATGGAAAAACGATTCAGCGTTCCAAAATAAACCATCAAGAAAAATGACCGCTACACAGTCCAAATCGGGCAATCGGCGATTCGCGCATGATTGTGCAGAATGCAGGCCGACCATTACGTCTTAATACAAACAGTAAAATCAGACCAGGTGAAAGACGATTTTGCACATTCGCACTGCTTACAAAACAAGGACAAGTCACAATAAAAGGAAACTATGATGTTAAACCATTGCTATCTACGGCATTGTTAACAGATATGAAATTAATTACTCTGCTTCGTTTTTCCACCTAACGTAGAAATGATAAAAATACTATACACATTGGAGACTAAATGAAACTAATTCGACGCACGGATAAAGCGCTTGGAATATTATAGAAAACATCAGGGTCTTAATATTACGCTCCATCAACATATCCAGTTTTTAACCGTTTCAGAAAAAATGAGAACAAAAAGAGAGAGAAAAGACCAGTCATTTTGTTGGAGGTTTGAAGGTCAGACGACTATTTGCAACACACAACCTCTTGCACAATGTGAAAACGTTCTAAAACCGCTCTCTTGTTAAAGGATTTCTGAGCAGATGATAATAATTCCCTTGATTTTAAACTCATGAATAGTCGCTCAAAGGCCTATCCAATGCCCAGAAATCTATTTTGTACTCAAGAAAACACACATAACCATAAACGAAGAAACTCATGTTTCTACAATTTCAGAAGAAAAACAGGACTTACCAAATGTTGTGTGTATCAGTGTAATTGAACTTACTTTGGTGTCTATCCAAAAGGCTATCCATGATATAAAAACCGACAAATAAGTTGGCATATATGCCTAAATAAAAATAAATGTACGATAATTCGATACATATGATATTTTGGTAACCACTTGGGTTAGATCGTCTAAAGCGATCCGTTTTAACACATTCGCGACGATATGAATTGATCCAATTTCGCAATGTACTATTTCTATCATTCTCGGAAATAAGTGCTCCTTAAACTACCACAAAATAGGTCACCGCAGTGAAACTTGATTTTAAAGCCTCTACGCCAATATTTAAAAATTCTGAAGGTGTTATGACACTCGGTGGTAGGAAATAAAATGTAGATCTGATCCAACTCTGAAGATGTGCCATGTCACTTCAGTAATCTTCGCAGATGTGATTGAATGATTATCTGGTCTGTATAAATGACCTGTAGTGCCCTATCGGTGTGGTATGCCATTGCTGCTACCGTCCCAGACAAGGCTGGTACCAATTTATTAACACCGGACAGATGGAAGACTCGATGACACCGGAGCGAAGGATCGACCCAACAATCACTTGGGTATTTAAGGACACCTCTAAACACTGCGCTCGTTGTGCCCATCGGTGCTACACCGTAGAAATAATAACAACAACACAGCCGACGTTTCGGATTCTGATGTACATCAGATTGCACAGATATTCTTGCATTGAGATGGAGATTTTGATACAAATCACACAATAACACCATTTTTAACATCCTGTAGAGCGGTGGAAACCGCTTTCCGATTCCTCCTAACGAACTCTCATCGAGAAACTTTCATTACCTGAAGTACGTAATAACCATATAATCTTCTGAATGTGAATTCTACTTCTAGCTGATCCCACAATCCAGCTGTATAAAGCAATGTTGCATTACGATGCCTGCAAATATTAAGAAATCAAAGTTACCGTAATTCTTAACTGCATTTGCCTCAAAACTTTACAAAACAGGTGTTGAATGATAACTCTAGAATCTCCGTCAAGTGCTTTTTCTGTCTATGTATCATACATACGCTGAGATAATTAGGTGGCACGTTTTCACAATACGGACCATAGTACAAGCCTCATTTTAGTGGCCTTTAAACCATAGACACTACTCTGCCTTTTTAAAGAGCAGAGAGGTCTACTACACTGTCACCATATCTTTTCCAGAGTAGTGGCTAACGCTAGCATGGATAAGGACCGTGCTGTGAGACGAACTTTTGACATTTCAAAAACCGACTTTCCTTTAGCCTGGGTATGACTAATCAACATTTAATTCTCTATCTTCTTTTCCAGCAAACACGAGGCATTATTCTGTTCTTTATGCAAGAACAAGCCGACGTTTCTGCACATTTCACCTTCCTCAGAGCTTGGAAAGGTCAAGTTGACAGCAATCTACCCAGCCAAACACTTCCATAACCAAATGGAGATAATGTTAAACCAAGATTCCAATCACTTTGTACACAGATAGCTTCTTCGCAAAAGAAGAACAAGAACTTGCTTGCTCAAAAAGAATACAGAGAATTATTTGATCAATGCCAAGATTACTACAAAGTCGGTCGCGGGAATTAATCAGCACTTATTCTTTCATTGATTAGCCAATACGAGTTTGATAAATAAACTTTAGTCGGCCAAGGCTTCGACGTCTTCGCCTTCCTCACAGCCGATAACGCGAGTCGATGTCCACAGTCCTTCGTATTCTCGATATAGCGTCTCCGTCGTCGCATCGAGGCCAATTTTCTTCACTGGACAATCACAACAACAACAACCATCCCAAATAGAAAAGTATCGTTACATGAGCTTGCCTCGTTCGAGCGGTACTCCACTAAAGAAGATCCGACTCGACATGGTGACGAAGACATGACAACGACAGTAAGAAGGACTGTGGACAACAACTTGGATCATCGGCTCCGAGGAAGATGAGGCCGTGGAAACGTTAGAAGAATACAATTTGTCAACCTTGGGTAAGGATATCAATAAAGGAATACACGCTGAACCTAGGACAGTTGGACACAGGCGAATCCATCTAATCCATATTATGGCAGTGAAAACTCGCAACACTTACACAAACTGAACAAGTTCGAAATCGGGAAGGTTTTTTGAGTCGGGATCGGGAATAGAGACAGGCTCCCAGTTCCTCCATACTATTCGGACTTCAGCAGTATTGAATGAATAACTCTAAATATAAGATCCATATAACATTCTTGATTATAAATACTAATTGACGATACAGTAAACAAACGAAAAAGTGAAAAGTCAAGAAAACTTAACACAAAAATGCCCCATAATAGGATTCAGTGCATTGCAAGGGTTCGCTCAGTTCCAATATGGATGGAACCACTTGAATTTTATTTCCTTATCGAATGAGTCAATTGTTAACAAACTAAAGTGTACAACAACAAGATACTGACGTTTACTTCTATTGGACCACCATGTCATTGCAGAAGACCAATTCATGCACTGTCGCCTTACTACAATTGAGTGGAAAATTCGAATTAGCGCTTAAAAGTAGAACCGAAAACACTGCAAAAGTTAGCAACGAGTTAAGAAAGCAAATTTAAACTAACCTCAAAGACTAAATTGCAAGACTGTCGGTCCATTGGAAAATAGGTGAGGTCAAGTTTACATGGTCCAATAAGAGAGACCCGAAAATTAAGCCATACAGTTCCATTGGGGAATACCAGAAGCAAAATATTTTGAGATGGTGAAGAATGAATTTCCACCTTTAATGAAATGATCGCGAGTGCACAAAACTAACGGATTTCATTCAAACCTGCGAGTACGGCCTACCTTTTTGCTGTTCACGAAGCACACGTTGGGAGACCACAGTTGCGGAAGTTTATGAGCCGCTAACGAGATATTCCTTATGCAGTAGTTTCTATCCGTAAAGTCAAGTCGAGGATCTCTCCATATCTGGGAGAACCAAACGTCCGCCTTGAAACTGCTTGAGAACTCACTAATTTCTGTTATAGACTGGACAGTAAGTTCGACAATGACCTAAAGAGTATTGTTTTTCTGTGTTAATGCTAGTTGTTAACAATGAGGTAAATGAAATAACGAATTCGATAAGCCCAATAATTTGCTTCTACTTCGTCGATCTTTGGCGTTTTAAATGCAGATTAAAAGCGTGAAAACGATATATGATACTGGAAATTTTCACAGGTTAAGAGCGCTCACAATAGTCAGGTTTCTAAAGCACCAACGAAACATCCTCTTCTCCTTCCTGATTTTTATCGGCTAAAAATTTCCAGAAATGAACAAATTTGTGGAAGACAAAAGCAGAAAATGAACGCCTTCTTCATCTCTGATTAAGAGATGTGCTCTTATCTCAATCACAATTTTAAACCAACAGAAAGAAAAGAGGTAGCTGGAGGTAATACAGAAATCCCACTCAACCCAGCGAAAGTTTCGCAGCGCAGTTTACTCAAAGTAACCTAGCTAACACATCAGATCGGAATCCTCTTTCACTCATGAAATGGTATCTGCGATCCTTTGCACATCGCTCACATGCACATGTTCGCCACTACTCTTCGTCAATTAAAGCTTTTCTTTCAAAAACATCTGTTCATCAATTGCTTGAGTGTAACAGCTAAAAGATTTTTCATCAGTTCATTTTCCTCTTTCAAGTCCTCGTCCTCTTTTCCCTTACCATTTTACATCCAATTTCACCGAGCATTATCTTAGACGACATAACAACGCAATGGGCATATTTCCGCTGACGCCATTTTGCTTTGAACTCACAAGAATTTTGGACACAGAAGGTACTCCTCAGTAACTCCAAACGGAGCCACGACCAGAGCTTTCCCACAGAATTCTACTATATCTATTTGAATATCTACTTATCTACCTACTATGTTTAACTAAATATCTCTTTAAACAGCTCCCCATCTACATGAGTCATTTCGACCAGAGCATATCTCTTACTCGCTTATTGCCCTCATAACGACGTCAGTGGTGGCATCCTGCTTCGATTGTGATGGTAACGTCTGTGGATATCATTCCTTCATGCATTAATCGCTGCGAATTACCAGTTTAAGTGTCTGACAAAAAGGTTTAAACTTCTTGATGATGGTCGCCCTAAAAATATTTGCAACTCTTGGACTCCCTTGTGCAAGTGTTCTTCTCCATAGAACTTCAGTTACACGACGGCAACACATAAGTTTCGCTAACGAAGCAAAATTCTTTAAAATCGAACATTAGTTAACAGAAACTTTATGCGTATGTAACTCCTATCGCAATCAAGAGACTTCACAACTCACTGCATTGTAGTGGTGAACAACAAGTGATCGGTAGAACCTATTTCCATGACAGAGTTGCTAGCAATATAGTAGAGTTCTTAAGCAGTAAAAGATCACGCAACAGTGTACGACGGCTCGCAAAACAACTTCGACACTGTTGAATTCGTTTCTTCGTAGTTGACAAAGTTCAGAGAAAAACCTACTCGTATTTTGATAAAATACTTCGGTTTTACAAGTACACGGATGTACTCCTTTTGGAATAGTGCAATTTGTTTGGGTTCCAACCGAAATTTTTGGAATAAGTCACTGGATGATATTCGTGAAGTGGGTGTAGGATATATTCAAGAAGAAAACTGAGGTTTGTTTTAGAAATTCCTTTCGGAATGTCATCTCAAGCTGGATGACCCTACGCGAAGCTCCTTATCGCTTCTTTTTTAAAAAAATGTCCTGATAATTATTTCCGAAAGAAGTCAAAAGTTATATTACTTGTCAAAACCAGTAAATGGCTTCCAAAATGCAGTTATTACCGGCCTTGTGCTTTGAGATTTTACTTCAGCTTTATTCTCTTATAGAGAAATTTTTCGGTGATGAGCAAGGTACAGTCCTATAGTCATGATGAATGAGTATTCGACATAGTTGCAAACTATGTTACCCAGTGGATTATTTTCACTAGTCGAATCCTCGTCCATTTATAAACCACATAGGAACAGGATCATGTTCAAAACATTTTCGCAGTCTTCACTACTCTCTTTCTTAGGTGGTGATTGTTTCCAGCTGGTAGATGATTTAAATCCTGATATAGAGAAGATGGTGATCAAATAGAACTGAGAAAGGTGCTTATCAAGATGGTGTCAAAGAGTTTTCACCTTTGATTTGTTGAGGCAAAAAGGATATCCTGCAAAACATTGAATTTTCTCCTTTCCTATGAACGACCTCCTCTGCGGGAGATCTGAAGAGCCACGTGGAACGGTTTCCATTCTCATCTGACTCTTCTTTTCCAAATCTTCCAATCCTTCTTTCTCTCCAATTGGTTTCTCTAAATATGGTGCAAAGGCGTAAAGTCTTATATGTTAATGTAATGGGTAACTGATGGGTGCACAGAAAACGGGAGTCACCGACGTATGATATAGAATTTGTGCGCGTTATGGTATAATACTCACTTTGCAACTTGAATGGCCCGTCTTCACTGGTTGTGCGCGTCCCAGCACAATTTCGGTTTTTTCATAGTTTTACTGGTTCAGCCATTGTGGTTTTAGCCAAAGTCTGCCTCAGATCGTCACCGTCATAGGCAGTCGCAGCCTTTGTGAACCAGAGGGAAATTTGCCACCATACAACTAGTTGGATACCACGACGGTTGTGGAACGTCGTATTGGCATTGCTTTACTCTCAGCTGGGCTTCTTCATGGAAACACCGTACCTTTTCTTGACATGGGAGACCCTGCCGGGGAGATGAGTTCCTATGCTGAACATCGCAGTCCGACACCCTGGAAAAGCCTCCCAGTCACGATGGGCTGTAAACCGCTGGGAAGAATCGTATAACAAACGACTTTAATTATATATATATATATATATATATACATATATGTATATATACGTCGTTTTTCTCACTTCAATTTTCTGCACAGTAATCAAGTAAAGTTTGATGTGATCTGGAGTACCAAAGAGGAAATGTAGGGTCAAATCAGAGAAAGCTGCTTTCGTTTTGTATGTATAGAGAAAGATCCCTGAATGTTATGTTTTGAACTGACTTATGTCGCAAACTTCAGATTAGATTACATTAGACCGGTTATCTCATTGCATTGATGTTAGAGGTGTATTGCAATGCACAATGGGTCGATGACTACGATCCCGTAGCTCGAGTTCATTAAGCCTTCTATCTCTCCAGGGTGTGCAAATTGGTGTAAGACTTGCCTCGTATGTTAGCAGCACTGGTTGACTGACGGACTAGACCATCGCAAGTCATTTTACAAAATCAATATGCATAAAATCAGTTCCTCGATGCTTGATCAAATCGAATTCATCCTTAAAGCATTGGTGAACGCCAGGAGCTTCATCCTTTATCTAAGATTTGTAAAGTTAATTAACGATAACGCGGAATATACGAGACATTGAAGCTAGATTTTTTGCACGTCGAGCAGGAATTCTTCTCCGGGCTCCTGTCTTTAAGTGTCCACCACTGAGAGACATCCGATTATCGATTTGAGCAAAGTATCTGCTTTGCAAGCAGTTTTATTCAGAGCTATCGAGATCTCCGGTGTTGGTCATTCCTATATGGGCTTAAGGATATTGAAATCGAACTGCTCCTCAATTTCTATGACCATGACTAGAGAGGAACCTTCTGGTAAACACCATGTTCGACATCCAGCACAAGTTCACCTAACATGATGAGAGATAAGCCATTTGAGAGTGTTCACATCAAAAGTTAACTTAATAATGGGGAATAAGATGCATTTTTAAGCTCTCTATTACATTGTAAAGCTCTTGTGCATAATTACCTTAAATACTTTAAACGTCCCCAAGGACGACCCAAAAATCAGTAATTGTTCGATAGGCGCAATTCCGGGTTTTACTGCAACCCGTCAGGAATAAAGTATGGGATTTTAGTCTCTTGAAAGCATGCTGTCGATATTTCTAAACGATCTCTTAATTTGCTTTGCCTTAAACTTAATTTGATGGCGATGTTAGGAAAACACAGAAGTTATATTCACTACCACGGAGTTCGTCGGTGAACATGGAGAAGCACAAGCATACATACCCATTCATCAAAACCTCGTCTACGAAAGGTTAACAAGATTTCCTTAAAAAACATAAAAATGAAAGATATTTGATAACTTGGTGGAAAATTGGTTCTTGCGTTATATTTTTTGATTAGAAGTTCCTACCGTTGCCTCGCGTCTATGAAACAGCAGTGATTATCTGAACTCGTTTACTTTTCTCATTTTCAACACACTTGTCATAAACGTTATTAAGGTGAAAGAAGAAAACGCGTCATTACTAGTTTGCTGTTGATAAGTCAAACCCAAAACAAACATTTTACTATATCACGCATAACCTCCTAAAGTTGTAGTTTTGTCATCTAGATTCTTCTAGCGTCTCAAACAGCTTCAAACCACAATGATCTACTACTCGAAGAAATATGGATATTCCACTACAAAAAAACTTCGATGGTTTATTGCTTTTTCTAGAAAAATATCTCCACCACTTACGACAGGTGCCCGATTTAGTTATTGATTTGAAGAATAAAACTACTGCACGAAGTCTGAAGGTATAAAGCGTGAGACATACCACCCTTACAGCTGCATGAATACGAATGAATGGATAACATTGTGCAGATTCTCTTTCACTAAATTAATTATGGATTTTCAAAATCTTTTAGATCAATTAGTCTCCAAAAAAACCCGTCAGAACGCAAACACACCGGATGCACATGTGACATTTACTTCAGGAACTATGCTAATTGGTAAAAACAACTCCAAAAGCAGATGTGACGACGTCTACTCAAACAAGTCTCACTATGGCACGAAATAATAGTTTTGCTAGCAAAGATCTTTGTTTGTACTTTTCAGTTTTCATACCTCAACATTTAGTAGTTCTAAGTTAAAACATACCTTCATTACAAGAGACTATTCCTATAAACATTACCTCAGTGGAGTTGGAACTTGGCAGGTTGTTTTTATCATAGGCATCGGAGAACAGCTCCTAGAAGAGAATAAATAACTTTTCACATAGTGTTGACAGCGCTGTACAACAAATCTGTGATGGCATTTTTCATTTTAACCATTTGATGACAAGGCTGGTTTTCAATAACATTATCACCAACACTATTAAAAAACTCTCATTGAGTTCTGAATTTTCTATGGAAATAGATTTTACAAAAAATTTAAAAATGAAGTATAAATCCATAGATTTTCCCAAGCAGAAATAGCAACTTCAGAAACTAGCGACACATTGTGGAACAGCACATCTTGCCCTTATGGACAGAATTCTGCCTGTTCAACTGCGTTAACGTTAGAAATACGAGTATTTGGCTACACAAAGCCGGGATTTTATTTTTGTGCAGTAGGAGAATTATCATTTTGTAGGCAAAGATCTATATCCTCTTACAGCTTCTGGTGTTATTGTTATAATCCACTATGATTTGAGATACGTTGGCTTAAAATTAAACGCGAACATTATTTTGGCATCTTATGACTCCTGCGGTCGCCTCGTCGCGCAAGTTTTAAGCATGCCGTGACGTACTACTTTCTCTATTTCGTAAATTATATCATTACGCTTTTCAAATAAAGATATATTTTTGAAAAAAATCGTGACTGTTCCCAGGATCGACTTTCTATTAACCTCGACATTGGAATATGAATGTGTCGTTTTCTTGTTCAGCAATCGCGAGGTTTTTAAA